ATGATATTTCGAACAATATTTCAAAAATAGTTTTGTATGAATTTGAAATAAATACAACGTAAAGTTATTTGAAATATGTAAGAAAACTATTTTTACTTACATTTTACACTAAAAATAAATGAGAATTTGAAAAATAACACATTTATGACCCAACCGCCAAAATGGGCCTTTCGGATTTTGAAGTACTTTTGGCAATTTACTTTTCACTTTTTATACCACAAATTATATATCTACGTGTTCACTATATTACAAGGAATATAAAAAAGTATAATACTTTCGTTTTTAGTCCAGACACAAATATAAAATTCTATAAAAAAAGACGGAGCACCTTCATCAAAGCGACACGTGGAACGCCGAAAGTTCAGAGTGATTTCTTTTTTTTTTTTTTCTAAGAAACATTGCCAAGTTATGGTTTAAAATAAAAGAGCATATCTTTGTCTTTGATACTATTATCTATTGCATATTGTCTTTGGTTTTGTTTTAAAGGAAAAAATAGTTTTTTCATAAGGCAGTACTTCTGATCCGACCTGATCTAATTCGACCCGTACCAGAGCCGACGTAAGGTAGGCATGGTATGATCTGAATAGGTATGATATGAATGGTATGATTTTAAACACTAATACATAATATTAGGAATACAAATAACACAATACTCATGATTATAAAATTATTTATTCCTTGTTTTGTTTGAAATCATTACATTTTTATTCTTCATGCTTCATCATTTTCAATTAAAATTAAATCTTTGTGACTTAGAGTAGACATCAATTTTGATGTATTTTGTAATTTTCTTATAATGGCAGTAATTGCGGGGATAATTTTTTTTTAATTTCCTCAAGAGGTTACACCACCTCCAAAGGGTATTGTATTGTCTTAATTCTAGACACATTTTTTTTAATAAATGCAATCACAATCACAAACGAAGTAATACCTGCGATTTGATACAAGCAATGTATACTTAACTTCAATATTATACAAAAGAAAATAAAGAAAGAATTATAATAATAGAAAAAATAAAAACAAGGCAGAAATACGCATAGAATAAATATAACAAATATTATAAATGACATATTGTTTAACAAAAATTATTAACAGTTTAGCAATATAATAAACAAAAGGTAAAAGACAATATAAGTTAATGTAAATCTACTTAATCTTAAAACTAGTTTATAGCTAGTATAGTTTATAGTTTTATACTATGGTATATTACCTATGCGCGGGGATAAGTTTATCTACTGTCGATATTATATCCACCATAGGCCCATGCTCGCAGGGTGGATAAAGCTTTGACATAGGGATAAGACAATTTTATCACTTGTCAGTGGATATAATCGGTGGATAAAATTTTTATCCCCTGCCCATGCTAGCCCGGCAGGAGCAATTATTTGAAGGTCATACACATACTAGTTTCAATAGAAATTCAAAATTACGACTCTTAGCGCTGAAATTAATTGCCACGTCACTGCAACACGTGGCTTTTATTTGCTTTAGTTGCAACGCATAGCCGGCAGTTTGACAACCGCAGGATTTTATAATTTTGAGTTGTTTTCAGGAAGATGCTGCTATTCATCTCTTGTTTTATTTCCTTCTTTCGCCTCTTACAGTAACCCAAGCATGATATGGGGTAACATGTATCCGTAAGTGAATCTTGTCTTAAGCCGCCACTATACGATAGATATCATTAAGAATGTAAAATTATTACGTCTCGATAACGCAGCAACTTATCTTTTAGTAACACGCGCAACAAACATATTTGTATGACCTTCAAATAAGTGTTTTGGATGGATATCTTTCCATGTGCAGGGAATATATTTAAAGCACAAGCATATATATAGAATTTTTTTAAAAACTAATAAACAAAACATACGTGATAAAGCGTAAGAGAAAAAAAGATATTTGAAGGTTAAGCCTAGGTATCCTGTCATTCCATTTAAATTCACCTAAACTCCTCAAACGCTGTGAAGTTTGATAAGTAAATAAATGTATAATGTAGTTTGATATGTAAAAATGAAACCATTTTATATACGGAAATAACGATAATTTTGAATATATGCGATAGTTTGATCAATTAACTGTTTTCAACTTCCCAGTGGGAAGTTATTGTAATGGATCCGATTTTACAAATTGGAAATTTTTCAACTTCCCAGTGGGAAGTTATTGTAATGGTAATTCAAATTGGAAATTTCACGTTTCAAGGTTTTTAGAGTCGAATAGTATGGTTTTTAAGAGGATGTCCATGTGTCAGTTGTTTTGCACATAAATTATTTTTCCACTGAATTATGTTTTAATATTTTCATATTTTCGTCCTGGAAGTCAATTAAAATGCTATGGATTCAAGATTACTATCACCAAATCTACCGACTGAACATCTTACCATGTTGATTAACGTGAAATCGAGTTACACTAATAGTTTCTATGTCGTTGATTGGGGTTGATAGCCGTTTCAACATTTTTGCTGATGTCAGTGTATGCAAATTCCTGAGAATTGGTTTAATGTATAATATATAAATTGAACTAACATGCTAAGGTTCAATGATGTTAACTCCCTTTAAAATTAACACTCATTCATCGTTTAAGTCCACCAAAAGGCATAACTAGGCATTTGGTAGACTTAAAGGCTAAGCCCTAAACATTGGCCTTTCCCATAGATTGCATTATAGGAGGAATATTTGCCAAAGCCGCCACGCTTAAATTGCGACAGACCGGCTGACAACCTCAGTATGTTAACTTCCCAGTGGAAAGTTATTGTAATGGGTCTGATTTTGCAAATTGGATATTTTAACATGATCTCCATGTTTCAAGGTCTTTAGAGTCGAATAGTATGGTTTTGAAGAGGATGTCCGTGTGTGCACATATATGTATGTATTTATGTATGTTCGTATTTATATATATGTATGTATTTATGTGTTTCAACTCGTGTATCTCGAGAAGAAAGATCGATATTGACATGAGACCAGTTTTATTTAACGCATAATTACATAACTTCCACCTCATTAAGTTTTGAGCAAAATCGGTCAAGTCGTTTTTTGTGCCGAATGAAAAATTGCATAAACTATTAAAACATATGATATTTTTTACTGTTTCCACTGGGAAGTTAGTCGTGTGGACCTTTTGGGTCGCACCTAGATCGCTTTTTTATAGAATAAGGGTGAAAACGGTCACACAGTCCACCTGATGGTAAGTTGATGTTGTGACCGTTATCCATCTACATTTATCCTCGATTAAGTATTAAAACGCAGATGCGTTGTTACCCCTGAGTACTAAGATGGAATGTCTCGTTTCCAGTACAAAAGGGTCTGGATCTCTACACTCACCACACGAAACACAGAACTATTAAGCTGCTATTTTACGTTGGTATTCTGTGAGAGCGTGGTCTTTCCCCGGTTTAGCCGACCCATTTGTGCTACAACCTTAATATAACTGCAACGTGACTCTACCACGTATGAAAGTCAATTCTTGGTAAATAGAAAGTAAAATATCTTTCAGCAACGTGGATCGTAAAAACGTGTTGGTAATTTTACCCCGTAATCTCGATAAAGCAATTGCTTGAGTTTAATGCCACTGTTAACATAAAGAAAGGTCACAGCCTCGTTTGGATATTTCATTTATCCACGAATTTAACATATATTATTCAGCAATTTTTTGAAACTACTAATCTTAACCCGCAGCTTTGTGTGCGTAGATATTAAACAACAAAACCTGCAAATCTATAAAATAATCGTTGGACAAGAGATTAAATCATCGAAAAATCCACATCAAACCATTTTTTTTAAATTTCTAACCCCAAAACTTTGCGACATAGGAAAATATAAAAATTTTCCCTTATGATAGATGTGCCTTCATTATATCTTGATAATTTATCAATTTCACGTATTATTAAGTTCTTATCACTATATCCCTTAAACGTTTGTTATATTTGTCGTAAAACTTAATAATGTTTATGAAAAAAAAATTAAATCGATTTCGCATTATAAACATAAGATACCAACGATAAGGTTTTGACCATTTCGTGATATTTTTGTATGCCGATGATTTAAAATTTGTGGGAATAATTAAGAGTGAATTTTAGTAATTTACAGAATTATCCAATGTAAAATTTGTGGAAGAAACCATTCGGGAGCTTGGTGTATTATACGAAAATAAGTTAATATATAAATAAATTAAAACAATAATTTCTAGACTCAATTATGATATGAGGAACATTTTTTCACTCCCTCAAAATTTCCGTTTATTGTACTTATATAGCTTAATAGATATAAATAATTCAAGTCGTTATTTCACATAAGTTTTCTCTAATTTATCAATGCAAAGGTAAAACGGATAACACTCGAAATAGTAAATGTTATACTGGAGTCATCAAGTATCTAAGGGTTCCATTGGTTACATTATTGAAAACTTCCATTTTGTTATGGTTGAGCTCAATTTGGCTTTTGTTTTTCAAATATAATTTCACCACATGAATTTATCTCAAACTTTGTTGTTTTTTACACATTTTGTAAAGTAGGGAGATTTTTTGGTATTGTTAACGGATAGATGATAATCCTTCAAAAGCGATTACGATATTTTGGACATCTTTTGTGATATTCGTATTACGTATCTAGCATTTTTTTAATAAAGTTATATTAATGAAGATGAAGTTTCCCCAAGTGACAAAAATTGTAAATATATAAAATTATAATTTACAAAATTATTCGAAAATGCCGCTTAATATTTATACAATATATTATTAATAACATTTATTTATATAAATGATTGAACACGACTTTATTTCCATGAGTATATTTTCAATTGCATGTTGATATGTGCGTTTCGTAGTTTGTGCATGTGAGTGCCACTGAAATTTGTTTGAATCTTGTCGGGATGCACCGCAATGGGTTACGCGAAGTTCATAGGTAAAGAAGACGGTATATAAGCATCTTACTGTGTCACTTAGAACACATCCGAGCTGTGTTTGTTTGCATCTGGACCCTTAGTGCTTTCGCCCTTTATTGTTAGCAGAAATGGTAAGGTATTTTTATTTAAGAAAAATATTACTATAAACGTTAATTCCCAGTGTATAAAAACTTTAAATTAATATTAAATACAATTATAACTTTATCCTTTTCCAATCATTATAAAGGTTTTACTATGCATTTGCCGAAATATCAATTTTATAAATATTATTAAAATTATAGTTTTTCAGTTTTATAAGTTTAATTAAGATATTTCAATTTTTTATTTTGATTTTTCATTAAAATAATTAAATAAACTAACTTAGGAACAATAATTTTTTAACATATAATATTCTAGTTTTTCACACGTACCTTTAACTCACGCGTGTGTGAAAGTTAAAAAACCGTAATTGAAATGCAAATCTGTTTAGTAACAAACTCTTTCAGGTTGCAACATACGTAAAATTTCGGTGTGTATTTCCATGTTTATTACTTTAAGTCGTACGAGAGTACTTGTTGTAATTAGTTGAACGGCTTAAATAGAAAACGAATTTAAAGCAATAGCCAAGATATGACTTTCAGGCTTACTTGTGATTTGAAAAACTGTAAAGCAATATAACAATAAAACATTTCAAGAAAATAATGCTAAAATTCAAATACGTATATTAGGGATGAATAGCAACTTGTATTTGAAATTATTTGCTTATGTGATTTGCCAACTTAAAAAAATTAAGCACTTTATGTCTCTCCGAGGGGAATATAAGTATAATAATGAGGCAAAAGTTTTGTCACGATCGATAAATAGTAGTGAAGTCCGAGCGAATATATAGCAGATGGAAACTACCTAGACTGGCTATGGGAGTTGATGTTGATAGTGAGAAAAATCTGGCAGTGATTTCTTCAAAATTACATGTACTATTTCTTACTGCAATTTGTTAAAATACGTTAAATTTGGTCACCATCGTTATCATCTTCACAGCCAAAGTCCACACATCAAAAGTCTACTGTTCAACTCCCCCATAAAGGGGACATTGCCATAGTTCCCACGGTTCAGTTGGAAACCGAAGTTTTTCACTATTTTATATTATTACCAACAAAATTCTGCTGCTTATTCCCTATTACAGTTTCCCTCTTACTCTTACGCCTCTTTGCAAATCCATAGAATGATATAAGGATTCTCTGCTACCGCTCGGCGAAAAAACTTAGATATATTGTTTGATTTAAGCAATTAAAAACTTATAACGAATTAACTTACTACATAATTTCTTTGATGAAAATAAAGCAATAAATAGAAAAACAATGCAATTATATCACCATTATTATCGCAATTGATTGCCGGCGCGTAAATTATTCAAATCGAATCTCTGATTCATACTTATAATTGCACACATTTTACCAATCAATGTTTTAAAAGAAAATCTGGGCTGCAATAAATTAGTACAATTTGTTTCAAATGCTCTATTGCCGTCGCGATGCCCGATAAAAAAAATTCAAGACTTGTGTAAGAATGACGGTGTCTTTTCTGGTCACATTTCTTTTATATTTAAATTAACATTCTGAAGTCAATGTAATGAAAAGAAAATTAAAGGCCCAACTTTAGAAGTTATAATGTGTATTTTTGGTTTTAATTGAGAACGGATTATGCATAAACTATTGTACCTGAAATACACAATAATAATGACATTTAAGTAAGGGTAGAAGAAATCAATCGCAGGTAGTTGACGGATGTAAGTGACTCAGGGCCGTATTTTGTGGTAATCTATGGTTGAGATCTATGTTCAGGAGTGAACTTGTAATAGGCTGTAGTGATAGTTTGTAAAAAGTAAGCATTATGAAAGCAACGAAAGTTAAAGCTTTTCGTACATGCTTTATTTTAGTAAGGAGAACATAAGATATTATCAAATCACGACGGTCTCTCTTCCTCATTTTTGTTTAAGCACATTACGATGATCCTGAGATAACTGTGTTGTCAGATAAATTCGTAAGTTATGAACGTTTTCAAAGTAAGTTGATGTTAGGCATAGATTGGGTCGTGGAATAATATAGTTATTTATTATAGAAGATTATATTTTTATATATTAGATTAGCTAGTTTGGCAGATGTTCTGCCTTTTTCGGTAAATGTAAAATTTATTAATTAATAGATTACATCGCCAGTGAGATCGCCTCATCTATCGCGTACAGATTTTGTGTTTTGGCAATAAACTTAGATATTATATTGTGAATATAAGTCATGTTGGTCCATATACATTTAATAACTAAGTAATGTAGTCAAGTTATTAAATTAAGTAAGTTTTAATAAGTTGTCTACAGCGCCACCTTTTGGATCGTAGCATACAAACGTATAAACATGTTGTGTGAATATGCCTTCAATAGGTCTAGTCGTTTGAAAATAATACTATCACTACGGAATAAGGTGAAAAATATCACAAAATAATTGCGTTGCTTTGAAAAGCAGAACATAAAAAAGGAAATAAAAAGAGCAGCTACATTTACAAAAAAGATGACATATATCCAGTATCTCATTTTTCTTCAGTCCCATAACGCATGAAATAGTATATTTAATTACGAGTGCGGAAAGCCTGCCATTGCAAAGAGTACCGACAAATGTCTACCCGAGCCGAGGCGCAGCCGAAGGTGAGGGTTGACAGTCGGAACAAGTTGCAATGATGGTTCCGCACGTGTACTGAACATCTATTTTTAATACAGTTGCGAAAAAATGAAGCAATTTAATTTTGTGATTTCGTAAACTGAATAATAAAGAAAAATATAAGCATTTATTAATAAATTACCTTTGTGGCTAAATAACGATCATCGGGAGCTTCGTTCAAAAACCTTTCCATTTCATTCGATGTTATTTTCGACTTTTTAGTTGAAAAACCGTCTGATTGTCGTTTTAAGAAAGCATTTAGTTTCGGGTATTCACTTATATCCACGTTGTTCCTTATTTTTAGCATACTTTTGTCATCGAAACATCGACCATAACGTGGAATCTAATAGATATGTAGCGACTTTTTGACTTTTCCGGTAAAATATTCTCCGAAGCATTTTGTGCAATTTTACGAGTATCGGTGGTGTTAATTCTAATAATTCGTCGAAATTACTCATTTTGTGCAACAAACAACTAAACTCACAAAGAACATTTTTGGAAAATAGCGCCAACCGTAAAAGTTGTTTTCTTCACCCATTCTGGGTAGGCAAAGGGAACTATGCCCATACAGCCAAGTCCTCAGTAGAATTTTTTGTTGATATGAAATGAAGATGAAATTTAAGGAGATGAAATGAAATGAAACCTAACCTAACTCATTGAATCAAACCATTAAATCTGATACTGAAACAAATTAGTAGCTTCTTTTCAGAAATATTTGCATGAATCATATCATAAAAAATTTCGTGGTTGGTTTTTTCTTATTAATAGACATTATTTGGACAGTTGGGAAAGAGAACGCACGAGTTCGGAAAAGGTAAAGAAAAAGCTCGAGTATGTACGAGGGTGGCACTGAAAATTTCGGGAATCAAGGAAGTGACACAACATTACTATTTAAAAATGTATTTATTGCTTTTCGAAGTATTCTCCGCGAAATTTGAGACATTTTTCCATACGACCAATCATTGAAGCAACCATTCCATTCGGAAGTTGGGGTCTCCAAAATGGCCATTTTGTAGGTGTCCACAGCTACTTCAGGTGATGAAAATCTCTGTCCACGCAATTCATTCTTTATTTTATGGAAAGTATAGAAATCATTAGGGCTTAGGTCGGGACTGTACGGCGGATGGTCTAATAATTCTATGTTTTCTTGCTCTAAAAACTTTTTTGTTCTGTGTGCGGTGTGAGAACTCGCATTGTAGTGATGGAGGATGGTGCGGCGGTTGCAGTTCTCTTTACGGAGTTAAGAAACGACCTGTGGTAAACAAATGCTAGTATACCATTTTGCATTAACCTTTCTTTGTCTCTCAAGAGGAATATTCGTAACATGGCCGGTTTTGGAGACAAACGTGGCCACCATTTTTTTGCAACACTTCGTGAACGAACAATTTTTGTTAGCTTTAACTCATTTTCGAACACCCAAACTCGTGACTGGTTTTTTTGTTTCGGCTTCGTACGTGTATATCCAGGATTCGTCACCTGATAAAATGTTGTATACAGCATTTGAGGATCCTGCGTGGAATCTTTCGAGAGTTTTGACGCACCAAGTAACGCGAGCCGCTTTTTGCTCTTCACAGAGCGAATGCGGTATCCATCGGGACTACAACTTTTTTACACCTAATTGTTTATGCAAGATTATTTGTATTTGACTCATGCCAATATCTAAAGAAGCCTGAATTTCGCGGTATGTCACATGTCGATTTTTCTCAATCAGCTTACGTACAGCATCAACGTTTTCTTGTGTGACTGCAGTTTTTGGACGACCTTGACGGGGATCATCACTGAGCTTGACACGTCCACGTTGAAATTCAGCAAACCAGCGATAAATTGTGGTTTTGGATGGGGATTCATCACCAAATGCAGAAATCATCCGGTCAACACACTATTTTTGTGTTAAACCACTTCGAAAGTCATAATAAATCATCGCTCTTGAATTTTCTCGAGCCAATTCCATTTTCTCAACGACTAAAGAAGTTTGACAAAACCTTGTGACAAGACCGAGAATCTTTTTTTAAATAAATAAATGGTATTCGATTTTTAAAACCAAGGATGAAAACTCCTTATTTTTATTTTTAAAAAGATTTTAATATGACAGGAACAGTGAAAATATTCCATTCCCGATACTTTTAGTGCAGCCTATGTAATAACCCACATCCCGAACGCTATACGTCCCTGCAATACGCCACTTTTTGAGCAACTGTATTAAAATATATGTTTTTTATGTTTCGCTAATTTTTAATAATTTTGCGTAATTTTAATAGTGGAAAAAATATAAATCGATAGAAAAGAATATTTTTATTAAATAAAGATTACAAGTCATTTTTATTGAAAGTAATTAATCTTTTACCACTAATTTGGAAAAAACTTCTGTCCTGAGAAAAATTAGCAAGAAATCAAGTAGAACTATTTTTTTTTTCAAAGTAAAATTTCACTAATACACAGGTTGTTCAGAGTGCTTAAAAACTTATTTAAGATAGCTTTGAAGCGGCTATCTCAGACCCAGGGGCTATTATTAATTATGTATTCACGTGTATCCACATATTATATCCAGTTTTTTTTTTAAAATAAAATACTTAAACTTGTTGAAAGCCCGAATTTTTTTTTAAATTTTTTTTTGCAAACATTACCCACTCACTAGAATTTTTTCCTGTATCGTGGGGGTAGTTTACACACATTAATTGCATAGAAACAAACATCCAGATTCGGAAAAATAATTGCAAACTGTTTGTTTGTATGCGCGGGATTTAAAACCCTCAGCGCTATAACTCATAATTATGTCACTGCGCCACGGAGGCGAAAAATATATTTTCTGGGATTTTATTGTAATATCGTATACAATGCCCCATTAGTGAAATACTGTCTCTGTGGAGTCGTGAAACTTTGAAACCTGATGCTTACATAGTGTACTCATACATCAATTTTTTATTAAAGTATATTTGTTTTGTGAACATAGATTTGTTTAGATTTTTTTTCACAAAACACTCCCAATTTTCGATTATAATTAGCTTCTATAGCCCTCTTTTGCAATACAAAAATTGTTTCTAAATAAGCCGTTCATTTCCCATATCAAATTCCTATAAGACATTTTGTTATTGAAATAACTGAAACAATTTAGTCTATCTGTCTCTACACTAGTGAGACTTTCAATTTTTTCATAGCATAAGCTGCAGAACTTAATCTGTATACTAGTTCAGATATATGGGGATGCTACTGAAGTTTTGCCTCGAAAGTAATACAAGAAAAACAGTGTCATCAACAGAGCTTAGATGTTCTCCATTGAAAAATACATAAGTTTTCAGTTTTTTTAACGTTCAGTCTTATAAATTTTATACATTTAGTTTTATTGCCGTTTATATGTATATTATCGACGTTAAATCAATGCACTAATTTTGATATAGCATTATTTACTGAGTCATATTCAAGTGCTTCCCAGTTTAGTTAAACATTCAATTAAGTATTATCAGGAAATAATACTATACCATGATTATCCCCTACAAAGGAAGGTATGTAATTAATATAGACTAGAAATAACGACCGAAATTACTTTGGACTTCACTTTACTTTTTACTTTATTTTGACATTGAAATAAAGATTTAATATATTAGACTAGGAATTGAACCTTGTTGAACACCCATTTGTACAGGTGACCTGGGAGAACTGATTCCATTGATAAGAAGCATTCTATAAATTAAATTTAAAATATTAATTTTAAGCGCTGTGTTCTTGATACCAGAGTGCTGTGGTTTCCTGATAAATGTCTCATGGTTAACCTAGTCCAGGGCTTTGGAAAGTCACAAAATATACTCAAAGCATTTTTGTATACTCCCATGCACAAAAAAATTTTAATTAACTCAACACCAGTGTCAGTAGTCAAACGACCCTTGTAAAACCAAATTGATTTTTATAAAGTAATTTATTTTTATTTATACTTAATATTTGATTTAAACTTACTTAATGTTGGTAATACAAGAATAAGTCTTAAATTGGCGCGGCTTATTAGCAGATATAAAAAGGTATGACTTTATGATTTTTGATTAAATCAGGAAACACAACAAGTACAAACGACGCTTGTATTAATAATTGATAATATTGCTATTGCTAAACAAGGTGCAATTGTATATATTATTATGGATGCAATAACTTTAAAGGAAATCCTCCACAAATCTTGAACTTTGGCTGTTTACTTAACATCAATAGTTTTTATAGTATTTAAAATTACTTTTTGGCAATACGCTACATAATTTAAAAATTATTGAGCAAGCTTTTACGTTTTGTTTAACAATAATAATGACAGTAGTATAAAAATTTAAAGATTTTGTTATCAAAAAAGAACATTAAATTTTTTTTTCATAATCCGCAGCAATTTCTTTATCAGATTAAGTAAAATAGTAGCACATTCAAGTCTGTAAACACTGACAACAACGTTTGAAATATAATCGTAACTTATAGAATTCTCTCAAGCTATACATATCGAAATCGTATTTTGTATTTTCGTTATTATTCATGCATTTCACAAATTAACTGCTATTCTTTTAGCTAATTGTTTTAAATTTAATTAAAGTCAATTTAGTCTACGGAATTATAATACAAAAACTGAAGTAAAATATTAGAAAATATTTACTAATAGTTTATTTCGGTTATTTTAGCTTACTCATAGTGTGCTATATTTTTATTATGTATATGTGTGTGTGTGTTTTTTTTAGTTTATTAATGTTATGTTAAATATTTATTTGGCTGCAAATAAACTACAACTGAGTAATACCTTAACCTCATCCTAACAAATTATATTGTTAGTTGAGGAACCCTTCGACTCTCCCTTCCAGCCTTAGCCTAGAATTTATGTTTATGAAAATAACCGTATATTATATGTGTAAACTTTTAGTTTATTAAACTTACGAAAATTTATTAAAAGTTTAAAGTTAATATTGTATTCTTTTTCAAAACGTATATCTAGGAGACTTTAAAAATGAAGTTATAATAAATGTCTTGTTATAATTTTTAAAACAAAGGTCGATGTTGAAGCGCCTGCATCTTCTTTTTGAGCAACGAGTCAATGTACTCGAAGTAATTATGTCAATAGATTACTTTCATTTTAAAGAGGTTCATCGTTTTTTCAATATTTTACTACCCTCTAAACTGTTGTGATATTACTACAATCGTCCAAGTTAATATTCAAGTTTCAATTTTAAAATTCCCTTAAACTCCCGAACAGTCGTATCACCATTTGTAACAAATCATAAGATCTTCTTAACATTTTCCTCAAAAATTACCACGTAATCGACCGAATCACATAATTGAACTGTAAACGATATCTTAACTATCTTAACCATAAAACTTCATTAAAAGAACAGTAATTTAACTGTACTCAAAAGAACCTTATATTTTTGTGCTTTTAAAATTTTGAAGACTATTGTTGCCGTATTTTGTTATCAGGCGAGGGAGAAAATTTGCCGTAGTTCAGTTGCCATATCATGTTTAAAATTTTTTTGATTTGTTTCAGATTTCTCTTGTTGTTATAACTTTATTTATTGCCCTAGAAGCTCAAGCACAACAACCCAAAGATGTTATACCTATACTTCGCATCGAATCTGAAGGTCCAAATGTTGATGGATCATACAAGTGGCTGTAAGCAAACTTTTAATAATATAATTATAATATGATTTATGTCATATCATGCTTTTACCCATTACTTTTTTTTTAAAAAACTGCAGGCTTTTAGGCAAATAGTTCCATCATCGAAATATTACTTTAAACTCAGTATTTTGTTACTTAAAACTATGTGGGATATAGGAAAAATCTGTAACTGTGTGTTTTTATTTTACATAAAAAGGTAAGACAATAGAAGTGGCATAGATGCATGAGCTTGTCGCCGCTATGATGTGTTGACGAACATCATTCAGCATTTTGTGATTTAGTAGCGCGGGGAACGTCGTACGTGAATTTATATTATTATAATGGTGAACTGCAGCATAATCAGTAGTAAAACCTTATCAAGGACGTGTAATTTAACTAATAAGGGTATAATTTTTTTGTATATAATTTTATATATATACTCACCGGCACGGAAACTTGGCCACTCGTGAATTTGCTGATTATTTGCACTGAAACGTTTTTTTTAACAGTAAATTAAGGGTAGATGCATTCAATAAGTGTCTCTAATGGTTTTAGAACATAGAAATTTAATGTTTACTTCACCGAAATTTTTCTTTTCAAGATAACATGTTTTCACTAAAATTAACATCTTTCCATTGTCACTTTAAAAACACTACAAAGTTAAAAATTAAGTCTGTTTCTTTATTGTCTATCAGTTTTAATATCGGGTGTTTCCTCCTCTAGCCCTGATAACCGCTTGCATTCGATCTGGCATGCTTTGAATGATGTTTCTGACATCAACTTGCGGTATGCTGTCCCAAGCGGCCAGCGCTGCATTTCGGAGCTCATTTAGAGTTTGTGGCGGTTTGGAGCTGGACTTTATCTTTCTTTTGAGCATACCCCATACATGCTCAATTGGATTTAAGTCCGGGCTACGAGCTGGCCACTGTAATTTTTGTATTCCAACCTCTTCCAGATATTCCTCTACACAATGTGCGACGTGCGGGCGTGCATTATCGTGCATGAGGAGGAATTGGTCGTGTCCAATGAATCCCGAATAAGGCATTACGTGCTCCTGAAGAACTTCCTCGATGTATCGAGTAGCTGTAAGCCGATTATCGACGATGACCAACTCTGTACGTGCGTCGGAACTTACACCTCCCCATACCATTATTGAGCCTCCATGGAAACTCACAGTTTGGGTGGTGGTAATGGGTAGAAACCTCTCTCCTCTTTTTCTCCACACTCGTTCTCGACCGTCTGGAGCACGTAAAGCTATTCGACACTCATCTGTGAACAACACTCTAGCCCATTGCTAGTGGGTCCAATTGACATGTTCTCTTGCGAACTGAAGTCGGGCTACTCGGTGCTGTCTGAGAAGTTCTGGACCTCGTGCTGGTCTACGAGCTTTTAAATTCACTTCCTCCATTCGTCTTCTCACCGTACGCTCACTAACATTAACGCCTCTTGCGATTTGGAGCCGCTGGCGTATCTCAACAGCGGTCAGGTAGCGGTTTCTCAAAATCTCCATAACAATAAAACGATCGTCCCGGGCCGATGTGCACCTTACGCCCCCACTGCCCGGCCTGCGGGTGTAGCGACCTGTCTCCTGGTATCGTTTCAGTGAATACTGCATTGAGGACCGTGGTACGTTAAGCACAATAGCAACTTCACGCTGTGTCAGCCCATGGTCAATTAATGCTACTGCTTGTGCAACTTGTGCTGGTGTTAATGGCATTTTTATTGGCTTTAAAGCACCTTTAGTTATTTAATTAAGACACAAGATCACAATAATTGAATAACCTTACAGTAAACTTTTCACAACACACAAATTTAAAATGTGAACTTAGTCGCTCAAATGACCCGATTCAACTTAAAATTAAAGAATTCGTCATGGTGCACTTAAAGATAATGAATTACCCTCTTGAACTTGAGGGTAAACATTTTTTGACATACTTGCATAACAAACATTCATCAGAAACACTTAAAGCTTTTGCTATCGCGAGATAACCGCTTGGCCAAGTTTCCGTGTATTTTGATTTTGATTTCATCGGTAAGTTGATTGTTTTATAATTATCACTGTTTTAACTAATTTACATCTTGATGAATACTTTACTATGATATTTACCTTTGTAAACTTTGATATATTACTTTTCGTATTGTACAATTACCATTGGTGCTTTTGCTCTACCGTAATATGCGATGCACGCGACGTTGACAAACTCACCAAGCAATGTAATGTGAACATTAGATATCATTGTGCATGGCGTATGCTTATAATACGGCTGCAGGCATCGGTCGCTTAATGCGTATGTCTTAAAATGTGACAACATCGGTTTTGGGAGTAGTCGAGCTCTAATTAATTTCTATTGTCTTATTATTACTAATTCTGTTGTTAAAACGGTAGGATCTCTTTTTCTACCGATTAGATCATCCGAGTATCATCCGGGGTCATCTTCTCACCTATGTCTAGCGCCAAATAGAAATGTTCGTACTGCTTTGTTGATCTGAAATATACTTAAACACTGTGAGACATTTCATCGTAGTTCTCAGAAGTGACAATGCATCTTTGGCATCCTTTGTTTAAAGTTTGCTGAAAGTGTTCGTGGACTGCAGTAGCTATTTATCAGGTGGACTGTAAGTTTGCTTGTTGCTCCAGTTTTGTAAAAATAGTCTTGAAAACCTAGGATAATTTCTACCACCAACTTGTGTACAGAATCTAAGATGTTTACGGTTCGGAAATTATGTTTTCTTAATAATCTTAGGAAAACATAATATAAGTATTGATTAGTTGGTTAATAAAAGAAAATCTAGTACGAGAAGGGATTATGATGTTTGTGACATTATTACACTAAAAATTTTTGCTCAAAAGTATTTCAGTGTTAAAAGTACATGATTATAAAACAAACTAAAAGAAAACAAATTATTTGTCGCTGCAATTTTGTCACAAATAACTGATCATCTAAGAGTGGAAGCCGCGAGTTCCACAGCTACGACGTTCTAGTTTGTGCTCCCGTCCTCAAAAATTTACACCCTGTAGGTACTATTGCACAAACTTATTTATACAATGTACTATTTGTAGTGTGTAGTGTTTGATTTCCCCCTAAACGTTATTTCATTATTAATCCAGTTATAAAAAGTTTTAGACGTGATAGTCAGCGATTCAAAGTATTTTACTTATCAATAACTGTTCGTGCTAGGATGACAAGTGTCGATAGTACTGACTAATCGGTCAAGTTACTCCACACTTTAGTTGACGGGCGTGTCTCCGCATAAGCTGGAGTTAAAATTTGCCGTACCAGTTCCTTTGATTCGTAGTTATTGCATAGAGATTGAGCAACGATACCAAGCTGCGCATCACAGAGATAGGGTAAAATATTATAGGGGCAGTTAATGAAGACAGTATATTGATCTCCACATTCCAATTTTTTTTTCAAATCATTTTCTATTTCAATATAAAAGTCTACAATTCCCGCTAATGTTAGTATTTACTATGACGGCGGATATTCAATTGGGTATTCCATGCGTTTCCATATGTCAGATATTTTGGATGTACTGGAGTATCGGTGCCCAATTCGCGGGTTGGCAACCCAAACAAAAAGTTGCGGTTGCCAACCCGCCGCCCGAGCGGCAAAATGTTATGTTGGGAGGCCTATGTTTAGGAGTTGAACTTAATAATGTTACGCGCCTAAGTCGACGTCATGTACCCGGCACTAGCGCCATCTAGTGTCAGGAACGAGAGCGAGGGGAGCTTTCCAGAAAATGACATCACTAATCTTTCAACCGACAGCGCCATCTAGTCTCGAAACGAAGAACTAAGCTTCTAGAAGCTGACACTCGAACTCTCGACGCCTTGCGCGTGTTTACTTGAATATTCTGGATGTTTCGGTTCTAATTTGTATTTATAGGCGCTGCAAGATGCGATCGGGGAAGTATTGAATTTGGCGAGACAAGCGAAGCTTCGGAGCGAAATAAAGTGAATCAGTGTGGTTAATTATTAGTGTTCTAAGTTTTAATTAGTGTAAAGTGAATTAAAGAGTTAATTTCGGTAATTCAATCGGCAGTTTTTATTGTAACGAACCCCAAGCTCGTAACAATTGGTGTCAGAAGTGGGATCAAATCATGCCGATTTTACCGAAGGAGGAATCGTAGGGTGTCCGTACCCGAAGTCAACGCTAGCAGGAGACGGACCAGAATAGATTTGGTAGTGCAACGCCGCAGACGTCAGAGGGCCAACTGCCAGCCACGGAGACTGCGGGCCCGTCAGTAGCTCCTACATCTGCAGCACCTAACTTAGGTGCTCTGATGGCGATGCTACAGGAGCAGATGCAGCGCGGACGAGAGGAACAGGCCCGTCTGTTGAAAGAGCAGCAGGAGGAACAGGCTCGCCGACAGGAGTAACAGGCTCACTGACAGGAGAAACAGGCTCGCCGACAGGAGGAACAAGCTCGCCGACAGGAGGAACAGGTCCGTCGTTTGGAAGAGCAGCTGCGGGGCGGACAAGAAGAACAGGCCGGTCGGTTGGAAGAGCAGATGCTTCTCATGAAGGACCTTCACGCTACCTTCGGGAAGGAGATAAAGGAGGTGAAGGATATGGTTGCTGAGCATGACAAACCCAAATTGCGAAAGCTGAAACCCGAATCGAGAAAGCTGAAATCCAAATCAACGAAGTGAACAGTCGGGTTGACAATGTGATGGCTGACGTGAAGAAAACGCTGGACGACCTCAAACTGGGGGATGGAATTACAGCTCCCGTAGTAGTTACAACACCTTCGCTACGTGGGTTCAAAGTTCAAAGCCACCGTTCGACGGGACTTCTTCCTGGTCAGCTTACGAAATCCAGTTCGAGGCTGTTATGAAGGCGAACGGCTGGAATAAAAGTCAGGCCATGACTGCTCTCAGACTAGGCCTGCGCGACCAGGCCTTAAAAGTTCTGGAAGCTCTCGGTGAGGAAGTGACTTATGAGCAACTCCTTGAGGCATTGGAGGCGAGATATGGCGACGCTCACCTGGAACACGTCTTTCGTGGGGAGCTTAAAGATCGCGTGCAGCGCATCAACGAAAACCTGCAGCAGTGGGCTCTAGAGGTGGAGAAGCTGGTGCGAAAAGCATACCGGTCTGTACCTGCGTTCATTGAAGGGAACCTGGTGCAGACATTCATCGACGGCATCCGCGACATGGAGGTCAGAGTTGCCGTGAGGCTTGGGCACCACGAGACGCTTAAGGACGCCTTGGCCCATGCACTGGAGGTGGAAGCCGTGCGGCAGGATCATCGTTCCCATCGCGTCAGGGAGGTTGCAGCAGCTACAGTTCGCGACCGAAACAAAGGATATAGCCCAAGGTGCTATGGCTGTGGGGAAAGGGACCATCTTCGATCCAGCTGCCCTAAGCGAACCCTAGAAAGGGAAGATCAAAGATCTCAGAAGGGAAGTGCGGCTAACATCACCGCCCAGCAGCAGCCAGGATACGACTTTACTATCAGACATCGCAGCGGGAAATCTCATGGCAACGCAGATGCATTGTCAAGAAGACCTTGTCCTGAAGATTGGAAACATTGTACTAGGCAAGAGAGTAAGGAAGTGGTATCCGTGAGGATGCTCAGGACAGACCACCTCAGCAACGAGTGGAAGGACAGCTTACGACATGCACAGCAGGAAGATCCGGACATCAAGCCGATTCTGCAATGGATGAAGGCCAGTGCTCCCAAGCCCAAGTGGAGCGACGTCTCAGCAATGAGTTCAACCACTAAAAGCTATTGGGCCCAATGGGACAGCTTGCTGCTTCAGGATGGAGTTCTGTGCCGTAAATGGGAAAATGTTCGGGGAGACAGCTATAATTTGTAAATGGTTGTCCCTAAAGCTAAAGTACCGGATGTTCTACAGCTGTACCATAATGATTGTTCAGGAGGCCATCTGGGAGTTAAACGAACTCTGCTGAAGATCCGAGAACGGTTTTACTGGGTCCACTGTCGAAACGATGTCGAGGACTGGTGTCGCAAATGTACAAGTTGTGCGGTTGTAAAGGGACCTCAGACTCGTAGTAGAGGTGCATTGAAGTTGTACAATGTTGCTGCACCATGGGAGAGAATAGCGAGAATAGAGGGGTCGTTTCCGGAGAGTGAAAGCGGTAACAAGTATTTCATGGTTGTGATGGATTACTTCACTAAGTGGCCAGAAGTCTTCGCCATTCCAAATCAAGAACCTTCAACAGTTGCGGATAAACTAGTTCATGAAGTCTTCTGTCGTTTTGGAGTACATTTAGAGATTCACGGTGATTAAGGAAGGAATTTTGAGTCTCAAATATTCCAGGAAACCTGCCGAGTTATGGGTACTCACAAAACAAGAACGACTTCTTATCACCCGCAATCTGATGGAATGGTAGAACGATTTAATCAGACATTGGAGAGGTACCTAGCAAAAGTTGTAGACAATCGGCAACAAGATTGGGACAAGCACATACAACCATTTTTGTTGTCATATCGAAGAGCTGTTCACGAAAGTACAGCAGTGACACCAGTTTTCGCAAACTTTGGAAGAGAATTACGGCTGCCTGCAGACCTAATCACCGGGATACCACCTGATGCCCCACGCAGTATAACCGATTATGCAAATGACTTGTCGAACAAAATGAATGATATTTATGAGCACGTCAGACAATCGGGCCAGAAAATGTCTGAGAAGATGAAAACCCGGTACGACCGCAAAATGAACAATAAAGGGTTCGACGAAGGTTCACTAGTGTGGTTGCACAATCCAGTCCGCAGCAAAGGGAAATCTCCTAAGCTTCAAGCTAAATGGGACGGCCCGTACCGGATTGTAACCAGGATCAACGATGTAACCTACCGAATACAGAAAGGCGCAAGAGGTACTCCTAAGATCGTCCATGTGGATCGCCTGGCGCGTTGTTATGGGTCCGATAATGCTCGGGACGAGCATGTCTTAGGAGGGGGCAGTGTTACGCGCCTAAGTCGACGTCATGTACCCGGCACTAGCGCCATCTACTGCCAGGGATGAGAGCGAGGGGAGCTTTCCAGAAAATGACATCGCTAATCTTTCAACCGACAGCCCCATCTAGTCTCGAAACGAAGAACTAAGCTTCTAGAAGCTGACACTCGAACTCTCGACGCCTTGCGCGTGTTTAATTGAATATTCTGGATGTTTCGGTGCTAATTTGTATTTATAGGCGCTGCAAGATGCGATCGGGGAAGTATTGAATTTGGCGAGACAAGCGAAGCTTCGGAGCGAAATAAAGTGAATCAGTGTGGTTAATTATTAGTGTTCTAACTTTTAATTAGTGTAAAGTCAATTACAAAGTTAATTTCGGTAATTCAATCGGCAGTTTTTATTGTCACGAACCTCAAGCTCGTAACAATAAGTTGTAAAAAGAACAGTAAAAGTAAAGACATATCATAAAACAATATTAGAATTTATTTATATTAATAATCATAAGTTTACTTTAATTGCGCTTACCTAAATGTTACCCGCACTATTTTTTTTCAAATTTACTTGTAATAAGCACGAAACTCGAACTAAATTATTAAGAAACATTTAACCCGATACACAAACAAATGCATGATATTGCAGTGTACTAGCTAAGTTCAAGTTCGATTTGTATTCGTTCATACTAACTTTAGTGTTCCGTTAATGAATATAAAAACTAAATTTAATCATTTTTAAGTAAAATCAGTGTGACAAACGGGCATACAGTCTACTTGACGGTAAGTGGATACTGCAGCCCATAGCCATCTACATTATTCTCCATTGAAAGTCAAAATGCAAATGCGTTGTCACACCTGAGGACTAAGATGGAATACCTCGTGTCCAGTAAATAGGTTTATCATTAACACAACAGCATTGCGCTGATATTTTATGATATAGGTATATTCAGGTGTAATAAGAGAAAAGTGTGGTTTGCAAGATGATGTTGTGACCAGGATTAAGAAAGGAATGCTTCGGTGGTTTGGTCATGTGGAAAGAATGAATGAGGAAAGAGTGACAAAGAAAATTTATGTTGCAGAAGTGAATGGCAAAGTCGGAAAGGGACGTCCTAGGCGAAAATTTATCGACCAAATTGGCGATTTATTGAAAACGGGCCAAATTATGAGTACCTTTAACCGACGAGCATGTATGCGTAGGTGTATAGATGTGAAGGAGGCGAGAGAGGTGTGTTAGGATCGTGCCAAATGGAAGTCTGTAGTCTCTGCCTATCCCTCTGGGTGACAGGCGTGAGTGTTTATGTATGTATGTAATGAAGCTATTATTCTTTTAACTACGTAATGTTTATGTTAAGTTTATTGCACCGTTGTTTTTTCAATGATAAAATTTTATACATGAAAGGAACAGCGAAACAAAGGTAAATTGTGTTAATATATACTTTATAGGCGCGCGTATGATGGTCAAATGGACTCAAGATATGTATTTATTACTTACCAGAGATAGATATCATCTTTAAAGCCTTGTTGGCATGTAGTTTAAATGTACTACGTCAAGTTTAAAGTTGAGGACATATCTAGTATTTCATTTGAAACTACGATAACTAAGTATGAAATATTTTTTTAAAGTTAAGTATATTTATCCGCCTGAATGCAAAAGCATTCATTTCAGTTGAATTGATTTTTATTGAAAATAAAATGAAATAAATAAATTATAGTTTAAAAAAAAATAAAAAACACGCTTTAATAGCAATCGAACTAAAAAGTAGCAAATACGAGTGATATACGCTTAACCTGCTCACGAATATAAATATATTTTTTTATCCTGATGATCCTAGTCATGGCTTTAATATAAAGTTATGAGATTATTGTATTGTCATCGGCCCTTGACTACTGTGGTGCAAATTTTCAAGTTAATTAGACTTATAAAAGTAGGTGAAAATGAGGTTAAAAGATTCCGTGACATACATACATACAGGTCAAGCTAATAAAAACCGTGTTTATAATTTCAAAAAAGAATAATGATTTCTTTTGGAAAAACCATGATATAAATGAAATTCCGACAAACAAAATGTGATCTTGTCACTTGCTTTTTCACATTAATACTCTAAAATTAGATTTATTGTATGATTTTTTTATTATTTATTTTAATATTTACTTAAAGGTTCATTACTTTAATTTTACTGCAATGAGTATTTAAGTAATTTATTAAAATAAAATTTACTAAACGAATAAGTAACTTTAATTATACTTAAAGTAGAAAACTGTTTTAAATTGCAGCTACGAGACAGGAAACGAAATAAAAGCGGAAGAATCTGGATTTGTAAAAAACTTCGGTAAGGGAGAAGGTCAAGAGGCGCAAGTAGCCCAGGGAAAGTTTAACTACAAGTCACCAGATGGATCCGTTATATCTCTTCAATACGTCGCTGATGAAAATGGCTTCCAACCTCAGGTTTGATAAATACAAATTGAATTTTAAGTAGGACTAGGATACCGTCATTCATTAAACCGATCAACAATCAATCAATGCTTACGTCTTTAATTTACAACAATTAATAAGTAAAATGCACAGAAATCGTAATAATGTCCTCCAGACCGAATTTCGGCCACGGCGGCCTGCCTCAACGGAGGCTAGCCAACGGTGCAGGACAGGATCATAGTGCCCAAGTGTATGCGCATGCACATGTGCACTCTCTATTCCCTCACTCTCATAATCCGGTGGGACGGTAAACCGACACGACCGGAGAGAGATCAGGCGCAGGACCAACGGCTTTACGTGCTTTCCGAGGCACGGATGTAAGACACCGCCAACTTCCTGACTCCGGCTACTGAGAATTTCTTGAAAGAAAAACTCAATAATTGATTTTTTGGCCCGACCCGGGATTTGAACCCAGGACCTCATGACCAGCAGTCGCACTACTACAACCGCTAGACCAACGAGGCAGTCGAAAATACACAAAACATAATACAAACTAGTTCTGTGGTAATATGTATATCAACATCATATCGTTACAACTCTTCATAAGTCTACAGCTAAATATAGGCCTTCCCTAAAGAATGCAACAAGACAATAAGAAAATATACGATTATATAACGTAATGTATACACAACACCGGGTACAGTAAAACAGCTACTTTATTTTCAATGCTTGTGATTAAAATAATTAACGTGACATTTTATAATCAATAAGGGGAGTTCGCGTTTAGTTGTTCTTAGTTCTAAGGCTGCTATCTATACAGGTAGATAATTTTTTTATCATAAAATTTAAAAATCGTAATTTCCGGAAAGATTACCCTCATATAAAAATTTTCTATAAATACAGGCATAAGAAAGAATTTTGTAATTTATCTTTTCATTGTAATTCATTAGAATGTATAATTTATTTAATATGCTAATATTTTAGCTAAGTTGCATTCACCGTACTCGTTTTTAAACTTTATATAGCTGTTTTAGCGTGGTTTTTTATAAAACTTAATTTTGGGCATAAATAAATAAAATTTAAATTCCATATTATTAAAACTCAATATATAAAGTAAGGTTTTTCAAGATTCACTTTTTATGTGCACAAAAACTTATGGTATCTATCTTTTTTTAGTTATTAATAAAATATAATATTAATATATCATAAAAATATGTACCTGTTCCTGGTCTGTACAAATATTAAAAACTAAATTTATTGATTTAAATTTTATAGTATTACATCAGTTTAAATTTAAGAATTTTAACATCGATTCGATCGAAGCAATCCGATGCTGGGCGGTGTCATACTGTACCTAGCGATGTACTGAGCCGCTAAGATAAAGAAGCAGTGCTATTAGTGTCATTGGGGCACTGATCTCTTCTATATACAATATATTTTAGCGCCTAACGAAGTTGCGTTACGTTATGATGGCGCACCAGCCATGTGGCCCCAATACGGGGTCACACTGTGATGCAGTAACGCGAATGAATCGTAAATTACCATGCCGTGAATCCGCACTTTCCTTAAAATGTCATAGTACGTAAGCAAACGTCATCTAGTCCCCGCTGGCAACATTATGGTTTTAATAATCAGTAATTTTGAGAACCTACTAAACTCAACAATAAGTTTTATTTTAAATTCGCGAAATTTCGGGTGCTTTCCAGCACCCATGGTCATGGGGACTGAGGTGATTGAAGTCCCGATTTCAGTGTTAGCCCTGAGTACCTTCAGCTTTTTAATTATTGTTTATTGTAATTTTAATTAAAAAGATAAAAGTTACAGCCTATATACGTCCCACTGCTGGGCACGGGCCTCCCCTCATTTCTGAGAGGGTTTTAGGGCAGGTTAGGTTTTAGGGCATTAGCAATGCGAATGCAAAGCCGTGATTGCTCAGATGGTTAACGCTCGCTGTAAATATAACAGAACGCGAGTAACCCGGGTTCGATCCCCGCCGGCGGCAATGAAATTGTTAATTGCAATTTTAAGTGCTGATTTAACACGTGCTCAGCGGTGAAGGAAAACATCGTGAGGAAACCTACATGTCTGAGAAATAAGAAAATAATATTTCAAAGGCTTGTGAAGTTCGCCAACGGACGCATTGCGCATTGCGGCAGCGCGGCAGACATTTCATTGACCCTAAAAACCCTCTCAGAAGTAAAAGGCCTGTGCCCAGCAGTGGGTCGTATATAGGCTTCAACTTTTCTAACTTTTAGAAGTCGACTTTAAAAATCAAATATAAATAGAAAAAGTTTCACATTATGAAGTCGGAGCTTTAATTTTTTTAACCTGCATGTCTGAGGAATAAGGAAAAAAATATTTCGAAGACATGTGAAGTTCGCCAACACGCATTGGGGCGGCGCGGCGGACTATTCCTTGCACGCATTGGGGTAATTTTAATTATTACTGTTTATTGTAAGCCAATGAAAATCCTGAGTAGTACTGAATATTCTGCTGGCATGTTATTTTCATCTAGTTCCCTAGTTATAATTAACATGCAGTCCTCAACAGGTAAGCATGTAAATAGAGACTGAACATCAAAACTGACCATGGTTTCACTGTCAGTAAGACGTAGGTCTTTTATCTCACTGACAAAATGGTATTAATCCTCAGTGTGTGCTCTTGTGTGTCCTCTACGTGGTAATAATATTTTCGCTAAGTGTTAAGCCAATCTGTAAGTATCATCACTGTTGGACGTAATGGAGCATTCAGTTTATGTATTTTTGTTATCGAATTAACTTCTAGATTCAATTTTTCGGAGTATTTCTTAATTAGATCGCTAGTTATTTTAAGTGTATTAGTTGTAGGGTCTCATTTGATATTTCGGTGTATACTCTTATTCGACAAAAGTTATTGTTTTTTAAAATTGTAATCCGACGTATACATTCTAACCGCAGCATTTTAAGTTTATCTGCGCGGAGAATCGTAAGCTCTGGCCCATTGCGTAAGTTATTTAACACGCTAATATCATTTTTGGGAAGATTTCATTTCAGCGCGAAATTAAAACATTTTGATAGTACTTTTATTGTGGCATCGTATGTGTAACGTCGGGAATCAAAACTCAAATAAATTAAACGCGATAACATCTGCAAAAGTAGTTTTAATCAATGTGTACTGTTCGCGTAAATATAAGAAATCATTATGAAAGATAACATCCTCAGGAAATCTATATGTCTGAAAAAATTTAAATGTTTTATGTTGCGTGCTCTATATATTAATATACTGTATGTATAATAATGATCACGACTTATTATTCTATAGTAATAAGTCATGATCATTACAACTGTTTGTTAAACTCGTTACGAGAAATGCGTTTGCTCAGGGCGTTAACTTGGCACAGTTTCATTTCTATATTTTTTAATTATTGTTTCTCAATTTTAAAAAAATATTAAAAATAAGTTGAATACTATTTAAATTGAACAGATAAAGAGAAGGAAAATTAGAATAGATTTCTTCACTTAGGTGGGTTATTTAAATAAATTAAATATATTTTTATTGTCTGACAGTTTAATGGCTACCATTTACTATATTTAAATTAGTACCATGTAGTGGCAGTATAAGTTCCGTTTAGTGGTGTCATAAGCGAAACGACAACCCCATATCATCCCGTGGATCTCGTGATAGGCAATAGAGGGTAACATCACGGGAGATGAGCAACATCATCTTTCTGATACCAACTCAAAATAATAAAACAAGACTGTGGTTGTTAACCCACCACCAAATCGCGGCAAATATAGCAGTGAGGCAATCTGTAGGTAAGGTTTATTTTCAGCAGTTGACTAATAATGCACTATCATGATGAATAATTAATGAATTATTATTGTGGTAGAGCCATTCTGCAGCTATATTGCTAGTTTAGTTTTGGCACGAATGGGTCGGCTCGGCCGGGGTTGGGACGCGCTCTCACAGAATACCAGCGTAAAATAGCTGCTCAATGCTGTTGTGTTTCGTATGGTGAGTGTAGAGAACCAGAGACCCAATTTCCTGTAAACGAGGCATTCCATTTCATTCCATCTTAGTACTCACGGGTGACAAATAGTGATGCGATGCAACGAGTACTGCTTTTACGAATACGAATACGAATATCAAACCTACTATTCGGCGAATACTAATACGAATGCGAATATCTCGCCATGGCATGAAAAACTAATTGATTAGATGATTTTATTTTTTCTAATAAATAAAAATGTTGACAGGTAAATTTTTCTTTAAAAAAACATAAAATTTGTAATTTTTTTGGTTTTAGGCGGTTTCTTTTTTTAGTCTGGATATTCCCAACCATTGAAAAAAACTTTCTGGGGTGTCTGTACACGGTTTCAGGGAAAATATTTTAGAGCGAGTTTTTTCAGCCATGGAAAATGGACATCAAATAAAAGGCATAAATACTAAAATGGATCAGAGGCAAGATTTAAGACTTCGTATTAATGGGATTGCTTGAGATAATGTTGTTGATTCTTTGCTTCGCTCTTTAGTAGCTTCTTCAAAATTGGCCAGAATATCAACAATTTGATTCATAAGAGCCCAACGCCTTGCTGTTATTTCATGACGACAGTTTGATAGAGATGGTAAAACATCATGAATCGCTATGCGTTGTTCATGTAATCACTTCACCATATGATATGTTGAGTCCCATCTAGTAGTACAAAAATATTAGTTTTTAAATATTCGTGATTAGTATTCGCCGAATACGAATATTCGGTAAATGTCTACTATTCGGCGAATACGAATATTCGTATTTGTATTCGTTACATCATTGACAACACATCTGCATTTTGATTCGTAGTCGAGGATAGATGTAGATGTCTATGGTCACAACAACCACTTACCATCAGGTAGACTGTGTGCTCATTTTGTCACCTTATTCTTAAAAAAAAGTTATTTATCAAACTATTTCATATATAAGACACAAAAATTTATAGCTCAAAATTATCGTTATTTCCGTATAATAAACGGTTTCATTTTATTAATTTTGACAATACGAACTCTATAAACAATTATAGCGTGTTGATACATATATTTAAGTTATGATTATAACACCTGCTGCAATGGAAATACACGACTCTGACACCGTATAAGTCCTTGACATCTTTCGGTAGGCACTTGTAAATGATATAAGCAGACGGATCTTGGAATCCGGTACTGTAAAAATGGCATACAGTTGGCAATAAAATGATGATTCAAGTCCACTCATATTTTTTGTACTTACGTGAATAAATTCACTGTGGAAATATGTAAAAAGTTGATTTTATACTAAAATAAGATTTCTATATTTTTTTTCGAGATCGAAGAGAGAAAGAGAATTAAATAAAACATTAAATTTGTTAAAGATAAAGTTTACTCTGTTAAATCACCAAGGATGTTATTAATCATCTGTAAATATTACGCATACTTAGAATGGATTACCAATTGATTGACCCCTTGTGACATAAGGTCCTTTGTTCAACAAAGACGCATGAAAAGTTTAATAATTTTATCACAAAAAGTCACAAAATTTTTCGAAAAAAATTCGTAAAATCTTTTTAAAATCAAATCCCACCTATGCCCAATCGGATTTTAGTCCAGTAATTGGGCGTGTCAGTCAGGGTCGCTATATGATGTTGCTGCGGATACTAAGCTAACACTAGAGCCGTATTTGGGTTATTTCTAGTTATTTTAATATGGACACAACTTTTGAAGTTATGCTAATAAACGTGAAATATCTCAAGATAGTGTTGATGTGTGTAATACTCTACATTTAGGTTCAGTTGACCTACTAATAATATTTCAAGGTTATGGCTTATTTAAATGGTATTTGAGTAACATTTATTCTAATTAATAAAGTTAGGAATTGAGAAAGCAGAGATTTTATGTATTATATGTTAGTCATTATATTCAAAGCTTATGATAATATATAAGCAGCAAACTGTAGGCATGCATCTATTCATTGTTCTATAAAATAAACATTTGTTGATGAGCCTTTTACTCAATTGAGTTATATAAATGATAACTTTATTGACTTTAGCATCTGCAACTACGACATTTATGAATATTTGCAATAAAACAAAATATATAGTTTTGTCTTCCTTGTCTTTGAAAGGTATTAATTTCTTAATAATAAGACTTAAATCCCTAATTTAGCTATAAATATTATGATGCGTCTGTGCTTGTTTTTTTATTATACAAAGAACTTCAGTGTCACTTTGATCATTACAGATTGTTTTGCATCACGTTCTCAAATGAATATAAGCTTTTGTAAAATGAGGTAAAAGTTGGCTATAAAAAGTCTTTGGACTGTCTGAATTTTTAAATTAACCTGAATCACTAGTATTGCGTAAACAAATTTATACCTCAGAAATGCATAGACGTGATAGTGAGGCATGGTTGGTTAACATATGAGCAAATGTCACATGCGAATATAAAATGACGCCCTATGAACTACGTTAGGAAATGGGGACAACAAGACATGGATTACATTGATATTTTTATTTCTTTGGCTGCATAATATAAAATCAATTATATCAATTATTAATGATTAAGTACCAATGTGTTCTAATTTAAATAATAAAATATCCAATCATCAGCGCTATAAACCTAAATTATTTTAGAATTGAGTAACGTTGGACAGTTAGGTAACTTCGAAGGTCAATCAAAAATAAAATATTTCATAATAAAGTCGTTCTCATATACTATTCTATCAATAATTGCCTTTTCGTTAGCACTGGTTTAAAACACCTTATTTATACTACATATATGCGATGAAATTTGCCATTAGCATAATTGGCACCCTTGTCAGTCCACTGCAGTGAACATCTCGAAACACGTGTCGTAAGTTTTAAGTAGATTTATATTATTTATATACTATCGATGTAATCTGCATATTTTATCAACTATATTGCTAAGTAAATATAAATATATCATGTTTTATCTAAACTATATTTGATGGAATAAAAACTTAGTTCTAATTTCCCTCATTGCTAATAAAATGAAACTTAAACGTTCATTTTGGAGCAATGCCATATTATAAGCATAATAATTTCACAAAAAAAATTTAAAATTTATACATTTTTGTAATGTATGTAGTTACTTATTATTAGATATATATTTTAACACGTGATGAGTCAAGTGCGGCATCTACAAAGAATTCATCTAAATCACGATAGTTTTATTGTTAACCGTATTCTAAGAGCATTTGACATTTAACATTTTATTTTACGGTGTATGCATGATTCACGTAAATTACGTAAGCATTGATCGCAGATGCGCATGTTTCACCTGGCGCAATCGCCCTTTAAATTGACCTAGGCCTTAAATTGTTTATTTTAGAAAAGAATGACAAGTGATATTTCACTAACGTATTTAATAATAATTGGTGCTTTTATATTATTGTTGTGTTGGTGATTTTTATATTATTAAACTGACAAATAAATAAGCTAACGTTCCACCAAGTAGTAGTAATAGTGTATTTTGACAACTGCAACTCAAGAGGTCTTGCTCGGCTTCGAAAGGACTACGCTTGAATATAATACCAGCGTGAAAAAAAACAGCATAAAGCTGTTGTATTTCGTAGGGTGATCGACGAAAACTGGACGTTTTTACTGGTACCGAGGCAATTTATCTTTGTCTTCACATATGATATTCATATCTGTTTTAAGGTTCTTAACCTATGATACATGTAGGTAAAATGTGTGCTCGTTTATAAATCTCTAAAAACAGTCCATCGCATCCAACTTCAGTTACAACAGTGGGCTATGATGACTTATGGCATTTAATTAATAAATGTACTGTTATCTTTATTGTATTTTTAAGCCAATTACAGACTATGAAGCATTTTATCTTAGTCCTGACACTTGAAGACTAATTTGGAATATGCCTCACCCTTCAAACTGGAACATAATAGGTGCCAAATATAGACAAAGCTACTGTTTGTGTAGGTACCCTTTTTATCAGCACTAAAAACTGCAAATAAAAATCTCATTGGTATGCGTGAATCTAACCAGGATTTGTTACGTACTATGATATTTATTATATCAATAACAAATAAGCTCCAAAACACTTTTTGAAGAAATATGACTGGACTTGTACATGCATTGTGATCACGGATATTATGTCAAAAGATTTTGTTTGCTCATTCACCTCAGCTAGTGAATTCCAATTACATTTGTTTGATGTCGACGTAACTTCATTTGTCATATTTCCTCCGTTTTGTATGTTTGAAAGAATTACGTAAATTACATTTAATTATATAGGTACGTTACATGTCTTCTTTTACGTTCTTTTTTCGTTATTGCCTTATTCATATATTTCAAAAGCATTAGTTTTATTTTATTGTACTGATAAAAAAATAAAATATAGAAAATATTAATCACAATAAATATTTTTTCACAAATTTGCTGCGATATGGTCTATTCATAGTTTTATAAATGATTTAAGAATGGTCTAATCAAACAATAATGGAAAATCTCCATGGTCAGTCCGTAAACCTAGAATAAAATTGAACATATTTATATCAAAGTTCCAAATACATAATATATATAAGCCATAAGAAATTAGCTACTATCAAATGCTTCAGAGCTTAGACGCTGTAAATCAACACTAGTTTGATTTCACCAGTAAAACTTATTTCGACAACCCACAATATATCTTATTTAAATGAACATAAAGTAGTTAAAGCAAACACGATTTGACGTAAGGTGATTATAAAAAAATATTTTCTTTTTTGTATTTTCTAAGTGTTTTTTTTTTTTCATTTTACAGGGTGACCATTTACCTACACCACCACCAATTCCACCAGCGATACAGAAGGCTCTGGACTTCTTGAGAACTTTACCGCCTACTTCTGTTGGTGCTGCTTCAAATGTTCAACCTTTTTCGTATAAAGGGAAAAGATTTTAGAACGCTCGTCATGTAATCTTCGTACTACATTGTAACGATTCTAGTGCTATAAACAACGTTTAATTTATAACGGATATCATAATTAATAAAGTCATTGCCTACTTTAACAACATATTTGATTTTTTATTTTACTATTTCCTAATTATTTTATTAACAACTTTATTAGCAACTTAGCAGACATAAACGAGATTTAGTCAATGTGGCAACCACTGATGATTGGGATTAGTAAAGAAAAGCTATTTTAGTAATCATTGCGTAAATATTACACACAAATATCATTCATGCAGTGAAGTTAATTTTCAAATGTCATCAGGAGTAATAATGTCAAAGTATGCTTTGTTTTTAAATTTTAATAATAATTTGATTGGAAATAAGAGTAGCTGCCATAAATATTAACAAAGCTCTTTATTCGTATCATCCAGTTTTCGCACTAGTTAACATTCTACACAACATATCGACATTATTACAATATATATTATAAATTTAAAATATTTTTAAATATTGATATGCCTGCACATGGAAAGATGTCCTTTGTTTAAGGTCTTTTTGGAATTTACTCTTTAAGTATAGTTTCGTAAATACCGCGCGGTATAAAAATTAGACGGGTTGTTTCCAATTGTTTTCCGGGTCCAATTGTTTGCCTCTGCGCAACATACTCGGGCATCTGATATAATAAAATAAGAAATAATGTAACATGATTCATATATCTTTATGTAATATAATTTATGTAATGTATTTTATCAAATTATTTCAAATAAATATATAGGTTAATTTACTTTCTTTGGATATATCGTAAGACAACTGTTTTTCGGGAGTAAACTGCAGTCAAGCGTCGGAGCTGACACGCATATTTTCTTTTCTCTTTGTTATACAAGAGCCGTGGTAGCTCAGTGGTTAACGCTCGCTGAAAATATAACAGAAGGCGAGTAATCCGGGTTCGATCCCCGCCGGCACCAATGAAATTGTTAATTGCAATTTTAAGTGCTGATTTACCACGTGCTCGGCGGTGAAGGAAAACATCGTGAGGAAACCTGCATGTCTGAGTAATAAGAAAAAAAATATTTCGAAGACATGTGAAGTTCATCAACACGCATTTGGGCAGCGCGGCGGACAATTCCTTGCCCTAAACCCTCTCAGAAATGAGGGGAGGCCTGAGCCCAGCAGTGGGACGTATATAGGCTGTAACTTTACTTTACTTTTTGTTATACTTTGTCACGGGAACTGCCAATATGCAATGAAGATGGAACACCATGGTTTTAGTCGGTGCGATTCCGATGTAACACGTCTTTGCCCCGCGAGGCGGTTATGCGTAGGCATTTGCCCCAAGTTGATAGAAGAGAGAGTTGAGTTAGAGGCAAATAATTCCTTACCATTCCTAGATGTGTTAGTCATCCGAAATTCTAACAACACCATAGGTCACACTGTGTATAGAAAAAAGACCCATACAAACCGATATTTAAACGGTGAATCTCACCACCATCCTTCACAGTTAGCTACCGTGTGCAAATCTTTGTTACGGAGAGCACGAGGATACTGTGACAGCAAACACTTGACATGCTTCGGGTCCCGCGCCTACGTCACAGTGACCGAGTGAAGCCGGCCACGGTCGAGCGTGTGCCCGCCATTTGACACACACACATGTCACTACCATTTGTCAGAAGTATCACAGACAAGATTGGTTACACCTTGCAGCGAGCTTCTGTTAGAACATTCTGCAAGCCGCCGAAGATTAGTCAGTTCCTACCATCCATCAAGTGTCATATTCCTCTACAAGATGCAGGAGTATACAAGCTTGATTGTGAATGTGGTCTCTCTTATATAGTACAAACAAAAAGATCAATTACAACCCGCGTAAAAGAACATATAGCTGATGTGAAGCATCAACGTTCCGGGAAGTCTGCAGTTTTTGATCATATCCTAGACGGCCTCAACCATTACATCAGATTTGATAGACCACAAATCCTCGCGAAATAACACCGATTCCTACCAAGAATGATACGTGAGACTATTGAAATTAAAAAAACATTCTAATTTCAGTAGAGAAGGAGGCTGGGTACTGGGCCACCTGCTTGGGACCCTATAATTAATAAAATTAAAACTAATCCCAAGCATACCGTTGCAAGACCTCAAGACAAAGTCAGTTCATTTTGCATAGATCGGACCATAAACAATAATTAAAAAAGCTGAAGGTACTCCGGGTTTAATAATAACATCGGGACGTCGGTCACCTCAGTCCCCGTGACCATGGGTGCTGGAAAACACCCGAAACGTCGGAAATTAAAAATAAAAATAATTAAAATTAAAACTAAACGCGATAAAGTCCGTAAAAATAGTTTTAATCAATCATTGAACAAGTATGCAAATAACTTATTTTTACATTTTATTACTTATAGACATTTTAATGGTTTTTATGCACCAATGAACAAAGAATTGTTAAAAATACAACCGCCGCCGTATTGTGGATGATTACCAATGGCGCGCGATGAAATCGGCGTAACTCCGCAAGCTGATGATGATAATGATAAAGAGAAGTAGAACCTATAGAACAATTATTAGTGTTCATCACAATAGTTACATCCAGGTATCCAAGACAAATATTGCCCGATAGAAAAGATTAGCCAGATGAAGCTTAATACAAGACTGTTTGGTGGTCTACTGTTAACTTTGTTTACTAAGTGTAACTCATTAGAACTCGTTGACTTATTACTCAATATGGTTTCATACCATGTGAAGCAAATGTAGAGAATTGGGTATGTGATGGAGAACCGGCACTCAAACAACTCAGATTGGTGAATTGCTCTTTGCTTCTTCACGACAACGCCCGGAAATGTACAGCACAAAACTAGAGATCCTAACTTTTCCACTATGTTCTTCAGACCTCGCCCCAACAGACATCCACTTTATTTGAAGTTTATATAACTTTTAGATAAGCAAAAACTTAAATTCGAAGAAGCAGTAAAAACACCTTGAAGTTCATCTATTCTCGTTGAGCAGACTACTATAGCAAGGACAAACTACCCATGGAGTGGCAAGGTGATTTATGGAAAATATGCAAAATTTTTATAAATTTTTATGTAATTGTCATTTATTTCATTTTTTCCAAACGAAACGGTTATTACATAGGTAAAAACCAAATAATTTGATAAATTAAAAATTAGATCTTAGGGTGATTTATATTGCAAGAAAATTATATAACTTGAAAATATCAAAATTAAAAATCTTAATACTGATTTCATAGAACTTGAATACAATAAAGTCATTAATATAACTCGTACCAAAAATTAAATTTAAAAAAAGTAAAACTAATTTTTTTATTAAGTTCTTTGAAGACTGCCTTAACTTTTTATTATAAGTTAACATTTTACCTTTCTGTGTGGATTAAGGAATATCGCAATCTCAAGGTCTTTTAAATGGTTGCTTTAAAATCCACTATCTTGCTATATATGGGATGGAATTGTTTCTTCAATTTTTTTGATTCGTATAGGATTTATACGTGGTAGAGCCATGCTGCAGTTATATTAGTAGTATAGTTGTAGCACGAATGGATCGGTTCGACCGGGGAAGGACCACGATCTCACAGAATACCAGTGTAAAATAATAGCTTAATGATGCTGTGTTTCGTATGGTGAGTGTAGAGAACCGGTGACCCTTTTTACTGGAAACGAGGCATTCCATCTTAGTCCTCACGGGTGACAACGCATCTGCATTTTGATTTGTAATCGAGGATAGATAGATGTCTATGGGCCGCAGCAACCACTTACCGTCAGGTGGACTGTGTGCTCGTTTGTCACCCTATCCTATATAAAAAAAGGTTATTTTGGTAAAAAAAGGTACAATCAAAATCGGTTCACAATCGGAGATATCGCGCACACAATATAATACAGACGAATTATAAGCCCTTTTATTTTATTTTTTTGAAGTTGGCTAAAACTGTTAGATTATTATAGGAGGGTATACTATCTGTTTATAAATTAAACAAACATAAATCCACATAAGTGATAATATCTGGATATTATTTTTCACATAATAACATTTACGAAAGTGTTACTATGTTAGTGTACTATGTTTCGTTGTAAATTATGTTGATTATTAACTTTTTATTGATGATAAAGTAAGGACCCGAAACTTATCATTTATCAAGTGACTTGAAACTGCTGTATCCAACTATGAAAAGCGCATTTTTCGCACGTTTCCATTTGTAAAGTTTGCTTATACTATTTCATATAGAAGTGTCATTAAAATTAACGAAACGTTCCCAAAGACATTAAATCCACAATATAAACAATTTTTTGATAGACATGAAGCAAGATTTCTAAATGATATTAAAATAGCAATACAAGTTACAGTGTAAGTGAGTGAGATATCCACTAACCACACCACGGATATTCAATGCGTTAAGAGAAAAACCACAATTTTTTAAAGATAATAACAATTTTATTTTACTCGTTACCTGTTAATAAAGATATTTATTTAATTTGCAACCTTCCGCTAACTAAATACAGTGATGTGTCTTACCTGGATTAAAGAGCACCTCCCACCCTCCCTCTATTGCGTGCACTAATTCCGTCCCCACTAGTCCCAGCACCACTACTCCCAACACCTCTACTTCCAACACCACTATTCCAGGAAAGACACACCATCGACGATAATACGACACGTGTTTCGCCTCTACACGAGGCATCCTCAGGTGATGTAGACTCTACGACGGCTGACCGCTAAGTTATTAATCAATATCTTTATTATAATGGATTTTCGCAAAGTAAAGCCTGATTCTATCAATTATCATTACATGTAATTAAACTTGTAAATAAGCTTAGAGGTCCCTAGTTGTCCTCTTATTTTCTTTCTATTTTAAATAATTTAATACATATAATTATATTTTAATATTTTATAAATAATTTCAACATGTAATCTCGGCGTTAGAGAAATGCACCTGCCGTGGGTGACGTAAGAGGCGACAAAAGCTAACAGCAAGCAACTGGGAAGCAATTCTGATATCA